ACTCAGCTCGCAGCCCTCACGCTGCTCTCTCGGCTGTACTGGGTCTCGTCGGGCCTTCGTGATTCCTTTTTTTTTTTTTTTTAAAGTTTATTTATTTACTTAGAGAGAGAGGGAGGGAGAGGGACAGAGAGAAAGAGGGAGAGAGAGAATCCCAAGCAGACTCTGCACCGTCAGCGCTGAGCCGGACGCGGGGCTCGAACTCACGAACTCATGAGATCATGACCTGAGCTGAAATCAAGAGTCAGACGCTCAACCGACTGAGCCACCCAGGCGCCCCCATGATTCCTTTTGTTCCTGGCTCCACCTCCTACCTCCTTGCGGTGCCCCCCCCCCCCCCCCGGCTTCAGGGCAGTGCCTGTTAGGGACGCCCCTCTCTGTCTTCTGTGCTTCCTCTGCCTCAGCACCCAGCGGACCTGCCCGCTCTTGCCTGTGTACTGACAACTCCCAAATCAGACTCCACCCAGCCTCGCTGCTGAGCTGGTTCCAGCAGGTTCTTCAAACCCAATGCGTCTAGAACGGGGCTCACCGGTTCCCCCCACTCCCAACCTTACACACCATTCTTTAGTAGGAACATCGTTTCACTCCGCCATTTACCCAGAACTTGCAGAGTTTGCAATGGCAGCCAGCACCCGGATCACCGGACTCCTCGTGCAGACACTCATCCTGGGCCCGCACTGCCCACCCCAGGGTCCACGCCTGGAGGGGCAGGAACGACACCCACGTCTGCCTCGCTCTCTTCACCCTACTGCTCACTGCAATTATTGCTGTCATCACTGCCTTCCATTTTTGGAATAGTTAACATGTATTGAACACACAGGTGCCAAGCGCGTGGACCAGGCATGCGTCGTAGCCTACAGGGCCGCATTGAACATGGGCTGATGTCATAGGCACTTTCACTTTGGGCCAAAACGTACGGAAGTATCTGCGCATGGACTTGACATTCTGGGAGGAGAAGAACGATATTTAAAAGATAAATAAGGAACCTATGAAAAGAAAGTCATTTTAAATCCGGGAGTTGCTCACCGGCAAGGCTGACACTTAAGAGAAGTTGAGGGAGAATTTACTTCATGTAATCCAAGCTCTCAAGGTGCCCTTTCCTTCATTTATCTCAGACAGCTGGTGCTTTCTTATCTTCTAGCAACTTCCATTGTCTAGGTCTCCGATCTCACCAGGACATGGGCCAGCAGCCTCCCCGTGGGTCTCCCTGGCTGGAGATTTTCCTTCTCCCACCCACCCTCGCCCTGCAGCCCAAGTAACTCTGCAGAGCAAATCAGTAACTCTCTTGCCTAATGTCATTCAAGGGTTCCCCAGAACCCTCAGGATGAAATGCAGATTCCTCGGTGTGGTGAGGCTCCGACTCCTGGTGATAAGACTCTGTGTGGCCCTCCAGCTCCTTTCTCCCCACCCACCCACTCCGTCCTCCACCCTTAGCCACTCCGGATTGGAGCTTGTCAGTTTCCCGACTGCCCGTGTCCCCCAAAACTTATCACCAGCCCACGCATCCTGTCTCCTTTGCTTTTGCACAAACGGAAGCACCTCTGCCTGTCCTAGGGGCACCCCTCGATCCTCCCCCCACAGGATGCTCTTCCACACTTGTCCTGCCCCCTTTCTGAATCTTCAAACCCTCTCTCTCCTCGGCTCTGTCCCAGGAAGGTTTTCCATCCTCAGCCGGCCCCACCAGCTGGCACCCTCTCTCCTACCCTTCCCGGGCAGGCTGCTGGAGAGAGGTCCTTACACTTACTGTTTCACTCCCTCGCCTGTGGTTCATTTCATGGTGCCTGGCTACAGATGGAGAAATGGAGGCACAGAGAAGTTAAGCCAGTCGCCCAGGATTGCACAGCATAGGGGGCGGAGCTAGGACTCAAAGCCAGGCAGCCTGCCTCCAGAGTCTGTACTTGTACAACCACCACTCTCTACAGCCCCTCACCCACCCCACGAGGTGAGGGAGGATGATTATCCTTGACACGGAGGGAGAAACCAGCCAATTGGCTCTGTCGCTTACAAGCAAGAGTGTCTTTTTTTTTTTTTAATTTTTTTCAACGTTTATTTATTTTTGGGGGGACAGAGAGAGACAGAGCATGAACGGGGGAGGGGCAAAGAGAGAGGGAGACACAGAATCGGAAACAGGCTCCAGGCTCTGAGCCATCAGCCCAGAGCCTGACGTGGGGCTCGAACTCACGGACCGCGAGATCGTGACCTGGCTGAAGTCGGACGCTTAACCGACTGCGCCACCCAGGCGCCCCCAAGAATGTCTTTTGTGAAAAATTTGGGATGAATCAAACGCTGACAACCTGCAGCCTTTTTGTTCTTTGTCAAGAATACCTCGTCCTCGCGGGCAGGATCTTGACCTTCATTGTTTTTCCCAACCGGAAGTGGTCTTGGATGCAAAGCCAGGGATTCCCACACCTGGGCTTACAGCCACCTTGGCCACAACTCTGAGGCCCTGCCATCCTGCCTTGAGGTGTGGCCAGTGGACAGGTACTGAATGCTGGCTGCTAACTGATAGATTCATGGGCTGCTGGGACTGGAAGGAGCCCTAGCGACCATCAGATGATGAGATTAGCCAGCCCAGCCGGCCCGGTGGTGAGCCCTTACCCATGCAGCCTCTGGCCTCCTCTGATTAGCACGTCCGAGGCTCATTTGCTAGGTTCTCTGCCTCTCGATTAAGGAATGACCGCAAGTGTGTGCCCCTTTGTTTTGAGGGTCTGAGCATGACTGTGTCAGGGAAGGAGGAAAACCATGTTGGATCCTTAGAAGTTAAACGTTCTGCCTTCTAGGTTTGCACACTGTGTCGAGCTGTGGTTAACCAGCCTGGAGACTCTAACTCCACCAGCCTGCTGAGTGTTCCCCCCTGGAGGCAGCTTAGGGGAGAAAGCACAGCTCCTCCGACTCGCCCGCTGTGGACCTTGAGCAAATCACTGAGACTCCCAGAGCCTCCTTCTGCTCCCCGACCGCTTTGTGGGTGACCCCGAGGATCACCGAGAGAGGCTGATTTTGCAAATCGTGAAGTGCGAGCCCCTTCTGACCTGTGGGAGGAGTTTGCTCGTGAAAAGGTCCGGCTTATCTTAGCGTCTAGGCTCTGCTATCTTTCCCTTTCACACTGACAATCGCTCCAGATTTCTAGATCGCGTAATGCAGCAAATCCTCCCTGGACCCGTAGGGAGGTGCTCGGTGATGCTTGGTATTTGTGGCGGGGAACCCAAAAGAAGGAAAAAGTAGGGCCTGTGGCCCTCGAGCCAGGGTCAGGGGAAGACAGAATAAGGCAGATAAGGCAGTTTTCAGCAGAAAGTTTTCTGTTGGTTTCTGTTCTTAGCATTCACACAGAAAAGGCACATTTGTGATGAATTTTCACCAAGTGGACACCCCTGTGTATCCACTACCCGACTTAAGCAGCAGCATGACCGGCCCCACAGGAGCTTCTCTGGGCCCCTTCCAAATCTCAGCATCACAGACGGATTTGCCTGTTCTCGAGCTTTACATAAAGGGACTCATCCAAGACTTCTTTCTCTGCACATGATGGATGTGAGACCCATCCCATGGCTGCTAACAGCTACAGCTGGCTCATTATTATTGCTGTGCCTGGAATCCCGCTCTAGGGCCTTACCGATCTGCTCCGATGATCGTCTTTGGGGTTGTTTCCAGTTTTTGCTCTGCCGTGAACATTGCGGTCTGCGTCTCTTGGTGGGCTTATGCACATTTGCCGTGGTGTCCAGACAGACAGTGCAGTGATGGGTTGCCAGGTGCGCTTTTGTTCAGCTTTACTAGATTTAAGCATGTTGTTGGAACTTCAGGTGCTGAACGCTGTGGTCAAACAACTCAGGCCCCCGGAGGAGGGGCTGTGAGATTTTGTTAACAGCAAGCTGCAAGTGGCTAGATGAGGCATCGCTTGGTGGGGCTCCTGGACTTTGGCCCCCTCTCCTAAGTCTGAGGTTGCCAGACTATCCTCGCGGGAGGTGAGGGGTGTGGGGCCCCTCGGGAGGGCTGGGGTTGGGGCAGGGGGCTCTTTGCGCTTCCTTTCCCTGCTTCGGCCAAAGCAGTTTGTACACTCCATCTTGCACGGTGGGGTTCTGAGAATGACTTCCTGTGGGGTTTTTTCTTTTTCTTTTTTTTTTTTTAATAAAAGTTTCTAGCTGTTTTGACGTTTGAGAAATCCACTGTTCTAAGGTCCTTTCCAGCTGGAAAATTCTATTTTAGGAGCAGGAGGTGGGTGTGGGAAGGGTTAAGCATTATTCAGCCAAAGCGCAGGGTTGGGCCTCCGTGACCTTTTAAAGTTCTTATAGCTCGGTTTTCGATGCGGGAGATCTCATAACATTCTATAAAAATAGTGTTCAAACAAAACAACTTCCGAGGTTCAAAAGATGTGGAGGAGAGGCTCAACCTTGAGGAACGTTCAGGTGGCATTTCGACTAGAGTCTTGAGGACTCTCTCCTTC